AAAACGAAAAGTTACCTACAAGGGGCAACCAATAAGACTGAGCTTGGATTTCTCAGCAGAAACCACGCAGGCAAGAAGACAATGGGATGGTATATATAAAACCCTGAAAGAGAAAAATTTCCAACTAAGAATTATGTACCCAGCAAAATGATCCCTCAAATATGATGGTGAAATTAGGACATTTCCAGATAAGCAGAAATTAAGGGAATCTGTTAAAACCAGGCCAGCCTCACAAGAGGTGCTAAAGGGAACCCTTTGGACAGAGAAGCAAAAACAGCCAACAACAACTGACTATTAACACACATGATGATATAACCCAGAAACCAACACAGCTATGGAAATATCCAAAGTAAATAAGCCTACAAGATTGTAAACAGGGAACCAGAAATGTCAATTGACAAATGAGGGCAACTACAAACCAAAAAAAGGAAAAAACCGTGTCATTACAGAACTTCTAGATGGTAGGGAAGTCAAGAGAACTACAAGATAGAACAGACTGTTCTACACTTGGGAAGAAAACTATAAATCACAGGGTAATCTCAAATAAAAATGATAAACCTTCACATCAAAAAGGAGGACCAGCATAAATATTCATCAAATACTAAAACAATAGCAATGAAGGAAGTGATAACATGATTCATGAACAAAAGGAGCTCAGCATAGAAAATTATATGGAACAAAGAAATTGACACCACGAAAAAGCACATAACAAAAATGACAGCAACAAATTCATGTTTGCTGATAATTACCCACCAGCCACTCCTCGGAAGGAAGATGGGGCAATCTACTTCCATAGTGATACTGCCTCGGAAACCCAAGGAAGGGTCGCTGTGAGTCGGGTCCTACTCGACGGCACATAACAACACTACCAACACCTATCTGGCAAGGGACTTATCTCTAAGATTTATAGCGGAAGAGTGGATGATCAAACTCTATGGTACATACACATAATGGAATGCTATGGAGCACTGAAGAATAATGTAGAGTCTGCAAAATACCGCATAACATGGATGAATTTGGAGGACATTATGCTGAGTGAAATATGTCAATCACAGAAGGACAAATAAAATATAGTATTAGTTCATTGTTGTGAAGAGTCAAGGAAAGGTTTATATATGGAGGGAAACTTTCTTTGTTGGTTGCCAGGGATAGGAGGGGAGGGGAGGGAACACTGAAAAAAAAAAAAAAAAAAAAAAAAAAAATCATTGACCTATGTCACTTTAGCTTTGCGTATTTCACTGTACATAAATTATATTTCAATGAAATGCATTAAAAACAAAACAAGAAAAAAAAAGAAGAAAGAATTAGGACTTACAACGTTTAGCCATAACTGAGCACCTTGAGAGAGTGAGTCACTAGGTCTTCGGGCTCAGGACTGTGGTTGATTGGCACAACATAGTACACAAAAACATTGTTCTACATCCTACTGTTGAAAGTAGCAATTAAAGTTTTAAGAGCTTATGAGTGTCCGTCTAAGATGCCACTATTTGCTTCTCACCGGCCAGAGCAAAGAGTGAAGAAAAACAAAGACGCATGCAAACAATTAGTCCAAAGGACTAATGGACCATGAAAACCTCAGCCTTTGTGATCTTGAGACCAGAATAACTACATGGTGCCCAGCTACCAATGCCAACCACTCAGAAAGAGATTGTGGATAGAGAAGGAGAAAAAAAATGTGGAACAAAATTCAAAAACTTAAAAAAAATAAAGACACCAGGATTACTGGGTGGATAGAGACTGTTAAAATTGCTGAGACTATGGCCCTGAGATACGTTTTGGGCTTGAAATTTGACTCACTCCTGTGACTTAACTCTTAGCCAAACAACAGACAGTCCTGCAAGCTGAACTATACCAGGGAGATGTGCTCCTTAAAACAATGGGCAATGGGAGAGCAGAAGGGAAGAATTTGCACAGGGAGAAAGCCAAGGAAGCAGGAATGCGTAGACAAGAAAGATACAACAGGGTAGGAAGTGGGAAGAGACTTGTTACATCGTGAAGATCGTAATCAGTGTCACAAACCAAAATGTTTATGAATTGTTGAATGTAAAATGAATCTGCTTTGTAAAATTTTCCACAAATCACAATAACAAGCTGAAAAGAGAGAGAGAGAGACATAAAAATATAAGCAATGGAAAGGTTTGAACACAGGACTGTTATGACAAATCAGTATTTGAGGAAATAGAACAAGAAATGTTAGAATGTGAATAATAATTAAGGAGATAAATGAAAGGAAAGAAAGAAAACTGCAGTACTGACTGGACACCAGGTCTGGCATGGGTAAGGCAGCATTCCCCATGAGACCTGCCAGGCAAAGACTTGGAATCACCAATAGGTGGGCCTGAAGCCCACTATTCTTTGAAGAGATTGATCAGCACATGTTAGAGAGGAGATAAAGACATATTAGAAATGCCAGTAGTCTCAGACTTAGACATATTCAAGTTACAATAGACTATGCTTATGACTGTCTGCTTTTTTTTTTTAATTTTTTTTGTACATCTTATAGTTAGTAGTATATACTGCATACAGTGTTGCTGTGTATATTTTGCTGATATTATCATTCTCAGATGTTCACTGACAGATATTCAGTGTTGTGATTTACTGTTCAAAACACTGTCATATAGCAGGCTCAGCTGAAGAAATAACCAGGGGAAAATCCCAGAAGTAGGAAAGAAGTTTGGTACGACTTAGAGACCGAGAAGAGGTGATGATGTTCTTAATCTTCATGTTGTCCTCAATCTTAATGTTGAGATAGGGGGTGAGGAGTGGGATGAGAGTGGAGGGTTCCAGGTCACACAAAGTCTTTAGGACGAGGAAATAGTTCGAATCATAATCTAATTGCAGTGGGGAACTTTGTGGGAAAGTAATATGCTCTATCTATACTTTAAAAATATCACCCTGACAACTTGGTAGAGGGAAGCAAGAGAGAAGACACAGAGATTATTTATGAGACTTATCAGAGTCACCCAGGTGAGAGAAGGTGCAGGCACAGACTTTTGTGGTAGCAGGAAGATGGGAAGGAGGAGCCATGTTCAGGATATGATGTAGAAATAAAGCTACAGGACTTGCTGGTGGGTTGGATGAGAGTTATGGGGGGGGGGGGAAGAAAAATCAAGGATGACTCCAAATTTTTAACCTATTCTGTTTCCATTGCTGGGGTTGTTGTTGTTGCCATCAAGTTGATTCTGCCGTATGGTGACCCCACATGTGCAGAGTAGAACTGCTCCATAGAGTTTTCAAGGCTGTGACCTTTTGGAAGCAGATCACCAGGCTTGTCTTCCACAGCATCTCTGTGTAGGTTTGAAGCACCAATCTTTCAGCTAGGAGTTGAGCGCTTAACCATTTGCACCACCCAAGGACTCTATCACTGAGGATACAGTGGTGAAAAGTACATATTGAGGACTGACTTCAAAGGGTCTATCAATTGTCTAAATTCTTCCATAAGAGAAAGTGTTCCAAGCCTGGTCTGGGATAGAACCTTCTTGTACTATTATTAGCTACCAACAATTTGGCCCCTAACTCATGGTGACCCTATGCACAATAAAAAAAAAAAAAAAATGCTTCCCAGTCTTTGTACCATCCCCATTATCAGTTATGAATCATATTATTGTGATCCATAGAGTTTTTGTTGGCTGATTTTTCAGGAGTAGATTGCCAGTCCTTTCTTCCTACTCTGCAAGCTCCACTGAAACCTGCTCAACATCATAGCGGCATGTGAGCCTCCACTGACAGATGGGTAGGGGCTGTACATGAGGTGCATTGGCCAGGATTCAAACCCAGGTCTCCTCCATGAAAGGCAAGAATTCTACCACTGAGTCACCAGTGTACCCTTCTGGTATTATGTAATGCATAATCTCCTTCTGGGAAGATATTGACATTTCTGATAAGCAAACCCACTGTCACTGAGTCAATTCCAACTCATAGTGACCCCCCACAGGATTTCCAAGGATGTAAATCTTTATGGAAGTAGACTGCTGCATCTTCCTCCCTGGAGCGGCTGGTAGATTCAAACAGCCTACCTTGTGCTTAGAAACCCAAAGCCTTAACCACGCTGCCACCAGAGCTCCTTGATAAACGTGTTTCAAAATCCAACCAAACCCACTGTCATCAAGTCAATTCAACTCATACATGTCTTTTAAATATATGTTTACATATATTTATTCTAAGAAACCAGACATCCAGCCACTTTGGTGATTGTCAGGCAAGAGTTTACTGACCTTTAACCATTCTTTCCTTCCCTCAGTCTTTTTGTATAAAATGCACTGCCAAGGACAAACCTTTGACTTGACCTACAAGAGGTTTTTTCCCTTGTAACAAGATTGTAAGAAAACTTTGACACATACCCATAACTAAATGGCCTAAAAGATTTATTTTGGAAAATACTGCTCATGGACACATTCCATGGGAAAACAGATGAATTAAAAAAGCAAAATCACAAAAACTAAAAAGCTCAATATTAAGTAGAAAAAAACAATAGCCAGTATGTAGTACCAGAATTATTAAAGTTCACTGCTGATAAATTTAACTAGTAATTACTAAACTGTGGATTTCATGAGACCATCATAGACATGCCCTAAAGATTCTTCATTAAGCTTGCTACAAAGGCAAAAAATATGAAACATTCAATGTGTTTTAATGTAGTAGATTTCAAGTATCTACTTCAATCATTCTTTGACTCAACAAGAATGTGCTATATAAAGAATATCCTGTCCTTAGAGATATCCTTTGTCTTTAGGTTTTAAGAGCTTTGAGGACACAAATAAATCATTTTGTTTCTAGAGATAAAGAAACTGAGGCCCCAAGAAGTTAAGTGATGGCCTGGGCTGTACTATTGAGTCAGGATTTAAACCTAGGGTCCTCCAGGGTCTTTTTCTTTCACTATGTTTGTGGTTGTTAGGTAGTTGCTGTTGAGTTGGCTCTGCATCATGGTGACCGCATGTGCAACAGAAACAAATGGTTACCCAGTCCTGCATCATCATTACAGCAGTTGGTCTGCTCAAGTCCATTGTTACAGCCACTGTGTATTTCAAGTACCTTCCAACTGACAGGCCCTTTTCTAGTTCTTTATCAGATAATATTCTGTTGTGATCCATAGTGGTTCTCATTAGCTAATTTTCAGAAGTAGGTCACCAGGCCTTTCTTCCTCATTGCTACATTTAAGAAATACAAAGCTGTGACTACATCCTTGCAAGTAATTCCCCTTTCATTTCTCTAAACCCACTGACATTGAGTCGATTACAACCCATAGCGACCCCCCTTAGGTTTCCTAGGCAGTAAATCTTTATGGAAGTAGATTGCCGCCCCCACCCCACCCCCACCACCGTCTTCCTTCTACAGAGTGGCTGGTGGGTTTGAACTGCCAGTCTCTAGTTAGCAGTCAGATGCCTTAGGCACTGTGCCACCAGAGCGCCTTTTTCCTTTAGTAAAAGTTATTTGCATGTTAAGTGGCATTTCAGCAACTAAAATAAACTTTTTCTTTCTATTTCAGTTTCCTTTTCAAGACAATCTCTTTCAATCCATGTATTACCCTCTTCAGTTGAAGTTTTTGGAGACAGTACACACTTTATGTGGACGAATCCCACAGGTTTTTCTGAAGCAAATTGAGAAAACAATGAAAAGAGTTTATGAGAAACACATCATCATTCATGTCGGCCCCAACAGAATGCACTGAATATTTCATACTGTCTTCTGTTTTCTTTTTGAATTGTAAGCAGATCTTTCAGGCATCTCATGACCAAGGAAATATTACTCATTAAGCTGCCTGGATCTTTTTTGTATGGATGTTAAATGGTGCTCCATAACTATTGAGTTGAAAACACTTCGTTAAATTTTGCTACATTACTTGCCCCTAAAAGGTAATATGCTTTTCTTTATTTTTTTTAAATACTATTTATCTCTCTTTTAAGATATGTTCTTTTAAGAAAACACATTATTACTCATATAACATTGGTCACGCAGGATGAGTTAGCTGTGGAAAGGAATATTCCAATTCCAATTAAGTGTCTTAAACCATTTCAGTGTCATCTTATATATTATATTTAGGAACTGTTTCTGACAGTCTTTCCATGCAATCCTTCCCCACCATTATAAAAATAATACATGCTTATTTAAAAAAAAAAAAACACTTTTAGAAAATATAAGTCAATGGAGCAAAATCAAGATTAGATTAGCCATAACCCTGCTAACCAATGGGAAAGATTGTTATCATTTTAATGTAGTTCTTCCTTTCAGTCTTTTTTTTTTTCCTATTCCTTTATTTATTTGCCAATTGTCTTTTCCATTATAGTACATATCTGAAATAGATAGTCTGAGTAAAAGATTGCCTCTGTGCTGAGATTTTTATGTAGGAGATAAAAAGTTAGATAAGATGAAGATTACATTTACAGTCTTTATTTACAACATGACCAAGGCAAAGGAAGACATTGGGTGTTGCACAAGAGTAAAAGACAACAAAGATAAATAGTATTACATACACAATCCTGCAATAATAGTAATAACAGACAGTAATCTACAGGTAGATACAAAGATAGACATGTAAGCTGAACAGATGTGAGAAGGTGAATGGGAGTATACCCATGAGTATATATAGGTTTGGCAGAGGACATTCTACACATATATTTGTATGTGCTGCAAATATGTCCAAGGATATAGTAGAGTACACGTGGGGCAAAGTTTTGAAAACTTCTGAGGCGTAACCAAACATATTGCATTGGGGATATCTACTGCAAAAGACCTCTTTAAAGTATTAAAGAGCAAAGATATCACCTTGAAGACTAAGATGTGCCTGACTCAAGCCATGGTATTTTCAGTTACCTCATAAGCATCAAAAGCTGGACAATGAATAAGGAAGACTGGAAGAATTGATACATTTGAATTATGGTGTTGGGGAAGAATATTAAATATACCATGGACTGCCAGAACAGCAAACAAATCTGTTTTGTATAGAGTACAACTGGAATGCTCCTTAAAAGCAAGGATGGTGAGACTTCATCTCTTGTAGTATGGTCATGTTGTCAGGAGGGGCCAGTCCCTAGAAAAGGATATCATGGTTGGTAAAGCAGAGGTTCAGTTAAAAAGAGGAAGACCCTCAACGAGAAGGACTGACACAGTGCCTACAACAATGGACTCAAGCCTAGCAATGATTATGAGGGTGGTGCAGAACCAGGCATTGTTTGTTTTGTCGTATGTCGGGTCACTATGAGTCAGAACCTACTTGACGGTACCTCACAACAACCACAACATAACCAAACATCTTGAGGGACTAAGTTACTGCACCTCGGAACTTAGGACCATAGCTCGGGCGACATCCAGGTCAATTGGCATAACATAATCCACAAAGGTAATGTTCTATATCCCGAATTTGGTGAGTAGTGACTGTGGTCTTAAAAGCTTGTGAGTGGCCATCTAAGATACAACCATTGGCCTTTCAGCATCTGGAGCAAAGAAGAGTGAAGAAAAACTTGGGAATCACAAATGTTGTGCACTTCTAAAATACATAGTCTGTGGTCTGAAGTTTGCCAAAGGTTGTGTTACACTGGGAACACTTAATTGGGAAAAGTGTGAGGCTGGTTCTCTCCTCTCCTCCTATAGCCTCATTTCCTTTCTTCTTTCCCTCCCCTCTCCTTGTTTCTTTTTAGATTCTGTTTAGTGTACATGATGTTGAAGTTCTGATGGAGAGTGAAAGGATATTTTCTAATAGCAACATGTGGCAGTATCTTAGTATGTGTTGAAACTGAGGCTTTCAATAACAGGGTGAAATATTGTCAAATGCTGGCAATATTTTCTTGCTAAATTTTTTTCAATATAAATCTCAGAAATCGTGACTTATACTGAAAAGTCCAATATTTGAAAAATTAATTGGCTAGAAGATGAATTGAATCTTTCTTTGATTTCCAAAATGCCAATTTAGCATTTTTGGGGACACCACCACAAGCTGTATTGTTTATTTGAAATACTCTCTATTTCATATTCAGTACTTCTGTTGCAAATTTCTTTGACTTTCACTGACTTTCTTGAAAATGGGCATTTATTTATATGGACTCAGAGAGCTGATAAGTATTTTTCTATGGTGTTTGTAGGCAAAAAAATAAGAAAAAAATAAAATCTAATCACAGTCACAAAACAGTGATCCAGTATTGGAATAATCATTCCAATTCATCCTGAGAACAGGACACCATTCATATAAAATTTAGATTTATCTATAAATATTGCCTAGTATTTATGCATAAAAGATAAATTGCATATGTTTGATAAACCAGAATGAACATAATTTCACGTTTGAGTTGAGAAATACATTGCATTTCATGGGAGCACATATCATTATATTCTTATTTAATCAAATAGTAGGCAACCATATGTTTTTCTTTTCCCCTACTACTTTTTCATCATCATCTTTTTCATTTTTACCTTCCCCTGTTTATGTGTGAAGTAAGCTTCTGAGAAGTACTAGAAGGCTTGGCTTTAGCAGCATAGTGACAGACTTTGAGAATCCCTGTTCAGGCAGAACTAGGTTCTAATTCTGAGATCAAACCTTTGTATTATGAGTTTTCCAGAACTTTAAAACAAACAGACACACACACACACACATAGCTATTCACACAGACACACAACATAAGCCTCATGCAGGAGCAGCCAGGATTTGTTTGTACTCTGGAATTGAAGAATTCATCATTTTACATTTGTGACATTGGTATTTAAAGCTGATGGAACTTCTCTAAAAAAGACATGAAGAGCTTTGTCCTAGTTTTTGTTTTTTGCAAGTTAAAACTGGAAATGTTCTCAAATCTTCAAGAAAAAGCACTTGTGTTTGTTTCACCATATGTGTGAAAAAGTAAGAATCACATGTAATTTCTGCTTCATCAGTTTTACACATTTATGTTGTCACTGAAAAAGTGCACCCATTGTTTATAGCTCCCAAGGAGACTCTGAATGCATTGCTTATTATGGAGGAAAACTTGCTTTGGTATTTTTGTATGTGTGTGTGTGTGTGTGTGCTGTATGTGGACATAAAAAAGAATATTCCAAAGAAAAAGAATTATTACAGCAGCAAATTGAAAGGAACACAACTGTGTATTATGATTTAATTACTGTCTTGTCTTTTAAAATTCTATTTCTTGTTTTACCTTTTTTAATTAAAAAAAATTTTTTTTAAAACGTGTTTTTTGGTGTTATTTTGAAAATATGTTTTTATTTCCTTTATATTTCAAGTTTAAAAGGTAAGTTTATTGCTTTCTGGTTGAATATAATAAATAGTCCTTCCAACTTTAAAATAAACATTTGGTTGGTGTGGTAGTTAGTTAAGGTTGTGTGTCAACTTCGCTGGGCCATGGTTTTTCATAGCTGGGCAGCTGGATGTAGTATTCCCCATGATAAGATTGGTAATCATCTCCGTGGTGGTATCTGCTGTGAGCAGTAAGTAGCTGCCTTTGGGGTGTTGCCTGCTTCCAGTATATATGGGGAAGCTTTGAGGAAGGTCTCAAGCTTCATAGCACATCTGGATCCTACATTTGGCCGAGTCATCAGTGGACTGCTGATTATGACTGTTTCCAGACTTGAACCTGCCGTGATGTTGTCTGCTAACCTTGGGATTCTGTCATATTCCTTACCAATCTTGGGTTGGTCAGCCTCAGCATCAGCAGCTGCATGAGTCAGAAAAAGCGTCAGGCTCTAGTGGGCCTGGAACAGGAGGCAGAGCTTGAAGCCCAAAGTCAAGGCGCCTTCACTCAGGCACTAGAGCCGGCACTTTGAACTCAAACTTCTAGTTTCCTAAACTGTAAAGAGAAGAAATCTGTTTGTTAAAGCCATCCACTTGTGGTATGTCTGTTAGAGAAGCACTATAAGCTTGTAGCTTAATGTTGTTTTTATGTGCCATCAAGTCGGACCCGACTCATAGCAGCCCCTCCTTGGGTTTCCAAGGCCGGATCACCACGGAAGTAATTTGCCCAACTTTCCTTCCAAGGAGTGGCTGGTGGGTTTGAACTGCCAACCTTCTGGTTAGCAGTCAAGTGCCTTAGGCACTATGCTACCAGTACCTTGTTGTTATTGTTATGTGCCGTCGAGTAGGCCCGACTCATAGCGGCCCCTCCTTGGGTTTCTGAGGCAGTATCACTACAGAAGTAGATTGCCCAACCTTCCTTCCAAGGAGTGGCTGGTGGGTTTGAACTGCCAACCTTCGGGTTAGCAGTCAAAAAAAAATCATTAAAAATTTGATTTGCTTATAAAAATGCCATACTATAAAAAAACTATTTAATTTTAATGGTACTTTGTGTGAGAAGAATGAAGAAAATTTAGAAAATGTGAAAATTAGTTTTCCACTTTCCTGCATTTTATTAGCAAAATTGAGTCTAACTTATTAGTTAACTAGTACACATGTCAAGGGAGCTCTGGTAGCATAGTGCCTAAAGCACTTGACTGCTAACCAGAAGGCTGGCAGTTCAAACCCACCAGCCTCTCCTTGGAAGGAAGGTTGGGGTAATCTAGTTCCGTAGTGATAACGCCTTGGAAACACAAGGAGGGGTTTCTATGAGTTGAGTCCAACTCGACAGCACATAAGAACAACAACAACAGAGTGTTTTAGGGAGTTCTGGTGGTGTAGTGCCTAAAACATTTGACTGCTAACCAGAAGGCTGGTGGTTCAAACCCACCAGCCACTCCTCGGAAGGAAGGTTGGGCAATCTACTGCTATAGTGATACTGCCTCGGAGACCCAAGGAGGGGTCGCTATGAGTCAGATCTGACTAGAGGGCAGTGAGTTAGAGTGTTTTAACTCTAAGAGATCCCTGTATACATTGAGTCCTATTATCCCTTACTTACTATTTTTAAGATATATATTTTAAATACACTGTATTTTTAGACCAGTTCTTTTTGCACTTCTGACTTAGCTAAATCATTAATATTTTT